CGAGTTCGTCGAGAACATCCATTTTCAAAATGCGCTATCCTTCTGCGAGGAAAATCGATAGGGAATTTACAGAAAACGGATTTGCAAAACGTGTAGAAACTAGTTTAAGAAGGCATGGTTGACCGGTCGGTTTATGCATCCTCGAAAATGGAGGTCGAGTCCCACAAGACGATCCCCAAAATTGGTCAATTCGTATCACGGACGAAACGAAGAATAGCGAAAAGCAGCAGCGATGCCAACAGTTACAGCGACCGAGTCGTCGATTTCACTCTTCGTTCGCTGTTGGCGATAACATGCAGACGTCCCGGGTGGCACCAGATGTCGACTCGACGTCGGACGAAGAGTGAGTAAATCGGTCGTGCATCTGCCATCGTTGCCGAGACTCGGCGATGGCGGCAAAAGAGTCGGGTGAAGCGATTCGTCCGTATCGTCGTGCTTCCATCATCGGTCGGATGCGAAACGGCGACGGTCCGATATCGGCACGCTCGACGTCGGAGAGTTCTTTGGCAGAGACCGATATCGGGACTCGAAAAGAAGTGCAGGAGTACATTCGTTTCGGTAACGGTTATGCCCGTATGGGTTTAACTCTTCACTGGGAAAATAATTTCCCTCCTCTTGTATCTTGCTTCGTCTGAGAGAGAAAGTGGGATAAATATAAATATTTACCACCAGAACAAAAGAGTCACACACGCGCCCTTGAATTGTTATTGCATCGATGTGGTGCTGGAACATTTTTTCTTCTAATTTTTACGCGAAGTATAACATTTAAGGAATCTGCAAATAAAATGTTTTTTGTCTATTTTTTTTCCAGTGAACTCCCAATCATTTGCCCTATAAAGGGTTAAGTTCGACGAGAATAACTTAATTATTGATGTTAATATGGGCGCAAGATTTTCTACAATATGGAATTCACGTCGATCCAGTCCTGGGCTAGTGCTGGCATCAATATCGGGCCTTCATTTTATGAGATAATAATTCCAAAATTGGCCGATATCAGCTGCAATATGGACCCGATCGATACCTAGTCTTGCTAGAAAATATCGGATCGATGCGACTGTGCTGCATGGGATCTTGTCAAAACGAAAACGTATGATACTATGGGCAGAAACGTTCGCGAATGAGTTCGCGCTCGAGTTCCCCCAATTCGTTTGATGTCGTCTCACCGGCGCCAAATGCGCTCATCCAAGATCCACAAAGCTCAAGTTGGCGAGTTGCACTTGATGACGGTGACGATTTTACCCTCCACGACAAGGCGAAATCCTTCAGAACATCCGCTTAGATGCTCCTCTCCGGATGGATCTCGTCTGGAGCCCCGGGGATGAAGGTCAGGTGATGGAAGAAAAAGAGGAAGAACAGGAATCCTTGCACGTGGCAACGGAGGGACGCGGAGGTCGGACCTGATCTGCATTCCTAATCCTCATCTTTAACCCTAGAAAAGGACTCGTATTTCTCGAGACGGGATGGGGTTGAACGAACCACCCTACCAACCGACCAACCTACCCTAGAGAGGTTCCGTGATATAACCACTCCCACGTCGTCTCGGAAGTACATCCCAGAGGGTGTTTGGAAAGGGAACGCCCCGGTTTAGGGATTCCCCTATAAATAGGCCGGGTGTCTCGGTTGTCCTCGTGCTCTGATCCTTGGATTTGACTGCAGGACACCTCTGCTTCTCTTTTTCCGTCGTCTTCCTGCTTCTCAACATGAAGCCCATGGTGCGTCCTTTTTCTTCATGGCTTTCTCTTTTTCTATCACTTTTTGAAAAGCGTTGACTTCTTTTTTTACGAATCGAGTATGTTGCTTCAGATTTCTCTGGCGTTTATACTGATGGCAACCTACGGAGGAAGGTTGCCAGCCAGTGGTGCTGTCTATGGAGGAAGGTTTCCAACCTATGGTGGTACTTATGGAGGGAGACTACCGTCCAATGATGCTTACTACGGAGGAAGGCTACCTTCCAGTGATGCATACTATGGAGGAAAGCTTCCATCCAGCGATGCTACTCCTTTCCCATATCCTCCATACGGTCGGGAATATACGCCCTACGAAGGCGATGACCTCCCCATCCCCAAGTAAGTCCTCTCGGTTATTATATGAACAATTAATTTTTGAAGCAAGTAAAATGTATTTAATAATTGGAGTACGTGGTAACTATGTGCTTACATGCATACTTCGCCTCATAAATATCACGCACGATTCAATTTTCGCCAAGTTGTTCCAGACTTTTTTTAAGGCTCAAAACAAGAGATATAATTTCCTTTTTTGATCAGGTACTACCCCAAGTACGGTAAGTACGTACCCAAGTACTTGATGGAGAAGTACGGGGTAGAGAGCGACACCAAGAAGATCGTGGATTACAAGAAGAAGGTGGTGCCAGTGGTGACATCTGACCCCGAGGCTCCTGAAGTGGACGTGAATGTCAAAGTCCCTGACGTTTATGGCTTCCAGGAGAAGAGGACGGACATCAAGCTCATCCCCACGTCCCACTACGTCCCAACCACCAGCCCTCTGGGATACCCAGGCTACCCCATCAGCCCCGAGTACTTCTACGGCTCCCCATACAACACCGACTACAAATACCGATATGGAGTCGGATATCCCTACAACTACAAATCCTACGGGTACCCCTACAAGTTCAACCCAAGTGTGACGACGCACCCACTTCTCCGCTACATCAGTGGATACCCCTACACCAGGTGAAAACCGATACGTAAATTGCACTAATTCAAAAAATGTTTTGTGAAATGAAAAATTCGACATCGTCTACAATTTTTTTAAAATGGAAATCTAATAGTATACAGAATGGATGTTTCCAGGTACCCAGTTGACGTTCCTGAGAGCTACAATTCCATGCCTTACTTCTACAAGTACCTGTCCGAGATGTACAAGTACGTGCCGAGCTTCGACAAGTACTTCCCAACGATCTCCAAGTACTTCCCTGAGATGTACAACAAGTACAGCCACAACCCGGAGTACTACAAGTACCTGCCTGAGGTTTTCCGCAACTTCCCTGAGACCTTCAAGACCTACAGCGACTTCTACAAGTACGTGCCGGAGGTGTTCAAGTCCTACCCCGAATTCTTCAAGTCTTACCCTGAATTCTTCAAGTCTTACCCCGAATTCTTCAAGTCCTACCCCGAGTTCTTCAAGTCCTACCCCGAATTCTTCAAGTCCTATCCCGAGTTCTTCAAGTCCTATCCCGAGTTCTTCAAGTCCTACCCCGAATTCTTCAAGTCCTACCCCGAATTCTTCAAGTCCTATCCCGAGTTCTACAAGTACGTGCCGGAAGTGTTCAAGTCCTTCCCCGAGATCTTCAAGACCTACAGCGACTTCTACAAGTACGTGCCGGAGGTGTTCAAGTACTACCCCGAGATCTACAAGTACATGCCAGAGGCTTACTACAAATATCACGGCCAGCCGGAAGTCCCTGAGGTCGTGTACAAATACACCTACGACCTGATGAAGCGATACACCCCAGAGGTGTACGGCAAGTACATCCCAGAAGTGTTCCGCACCTACTACCCCGAGATCTACACCAAATACACCCCGGATGTCCTGAACACGTACAACCCGGAGATGCATACCGCTTTCCGCAACTACATCACCTCCGTCCTGGAGCACCCTGAGATCGAGGACACGAAGAAGGATATCCTGAGATCTTACATCTTCAGACACGTCTTCACCACCCCGTACCACTTCCTCCACGACACCATCTACTCCCCGGAATACGAGTTAGTTTCATTTCGAGGACCTTTTCTCTCGCATAACATTTATTCCTGAATTTTCATAAATGTCACATTTTTAGATCACACGATGCTCAAAATCATGTTTTCCTCTTCCGCAGGCTCGTGAGGTACCTGAACAAGGTTTACACACCCCTGAGCCCTGAGTACACCAATGAGATCTAAAGGGGAAGAAGGAGGAAAGAAATCCATCATATCTGCTGAAAACATGATTGTGTGATCTCCAAATTTTCTTCCAACCAAGATTCCTGGGAATTAGTTATTTTCGGAGGGGGGCATTTTGGCATATCAAGACGAGACGACCAGTGCAATAGAAGAAAACTTCGTCCTCTTCTCCACTCAGCTCTCTCTTTTAGTCTTCCTTCTGTCTCGACTTCTGCCTTTCGTGCCGTGGAATAAAGCATCAGAAAACCCAACCCCTATTCTTTCATTTGAAGGATTTCTTTCGAATGGATCGTAACTAGTGCGATTGGACAGATTCACGGTCCCGCACACGGCAGGTTCCTCATCCTGATCGTGTGAGATGACTGGCTTTTCCGCTGTATCTATTCCTGTTCCTTCCTTCCTTCCGATGGCGATCGGCGATGAGAATATTCGGGAGAGAAAAAAGGTACACTATGCTTCATCGGTCTCACGTGCGTGACACGAGTCCACGAGGGGATTCCATTTCTGGCCAGTACGAAAAGGAACGTGAAGAATGGAATCCGAGTGGGAAGAAGACCTGGGTTCAATACACGTCCATCCTTTCCCTTATGTAGAAGGTCATTGTGTAGGAGGAGAGTCGTCATTCCCTTTTTTTCTGATCCAATGCTGGAGGGGTAGTGTTATAAAGATGGGCAGGGAGCTGGAGCTGTCCAAGGCCAGGGTCAGTCCACCGCACGCAATCATGTGCTCTGCATCACTCATCGTCCTCTTCTCTTTACCTTCCATCGTAAGCACAATCCTAGTTTTTTTTTTTTACATATAAAATATAATTTCTGGTATATATGTATGATATATCTCGATTTCTACTTAATAATTCAACACGTGCTCGCTCTCTCGTGGACGTGATAATTAGTTTCTAACCCATATCAGATCAGATGAGGATCGCAACGGATCGAAGCTTCACATTAACTCGGCTTGATGCGTTGTCTGTATCCTATAATAAACATAATGATTACGTTGACTCGTTTTGGGACTCCAAGGGCAACAAGTCGTACAGGAGAACCGGTCCGTCGCCGGTCAACACCCTCTTAGTACAACTATCTCGTCGATCTCTTCCTCTCGTATTTTGCATGAGACCTACGTAAAACCGGAGAGGGATCAAAATCTCCTTAAGCAGTGCAAGGCGTGAGATGCATGCAATGCTCGGCCTCCGTGCGTCCAAGTTTCCTGCACTGCCTGTCTCGAATTAGTACGAGTATACAGGTCAAATCTCGTCACAACGAACTTCAGGGGGGTGTCTAGATTATTTAGTTGTACTGAATTTCGTTCTATCGAATATTGCTCGAAATAAGTTCAAAAGAAACATTCTTTATTCTAATTGGCTATGCCTTCCAACGTGCAGAACACAGATGCAGTAATTTTCCACTTTATTTTGATTGATAAAAAATATAATTTAGGATTGCAAAAGAGTTTGTGTTGCCTTGTCATTGTCATCGTAGAGCACACCACGCATTCTCTTTCGCTTTGGCCCCAGAGCCGCTTTCCTCACCTTTTCTTCAATTTCGGTACGATCCTTCAAGAACGTGGATAACGTAGAGGGAGTGATGCCGAATTATTTTGCCGCGTCTCCTTTTTTTCCTGTCGGAATCTACTGCTTCCACTACTTTCATTTTTTCTTCCGACGAAAACTGTCGGCGTTTCTCGTTTCCCCTGTCGGCCGTGTCTGCGGGATGGGGCGCATAGGTACAGTGTGTTGTAAGTGATGAGGTTTCGGCCACGACTAGCCGGCGCCGACTACTGTACGCTCCTCCTCGCACTACACTTTTTATGCCACAAGCGTGGAAAACAGAGAATTCTGACTCTCTCAAGGTCCAAGGAGAAGGAAGGGGCTGTCGCGAACCACAGACGATCGTCTCTTCGTAAACAATCAAGTGTTAGATATTTTTTGTTATAACGAGTGACTATTATCCGTACAAGGACTGGAAAAAAGCATTCGTGGTACTGAATTATTTGTTGTAACGAGATTTGACCTGTATGTTGATTCTGGTCTTTCTTGCAAACTGTGCTTGAAGTGATGAATGAACTCCCTTTTATGTCCTTCCTGATGCTACCATTTTCCTGTTATAGTTCCTGGGAGCTTCGGGAGTTGTGCTCCAGCCAGAGCACCGAGAAGCACTCGTAAGATCAGTCTTTCTTTATCGTCGATTTGGACTTTGCTGCCAATAAGTCAATCTTGTAATAAATGACACCTATTCAATTTTTTTTATGTGAGGACAAGTTTCTTTGTTGCAATAATTCAAATTGTTTTGTCAATGCGTCAACCAAAAATTAGGCGCTGAGGGGTACGATACAAAAGACGGTTCAAAACAAACTTTCTTTTTTTTTAATGTTTTTTTTTCCTTTCTTGTTGCAGCCAAAACTATCGCATAATAGGAATAAGAAAACCATAATTTCTACTGGAATAGCACATTTTACCATTTATCGGCGTCACATAATGTTATCGTGCTATGAATTAAGGATTATTTTGGGGTAAATTGCAAAGAATTCCAGCTTGCTTGTCGACAGCAGCATTAATTCCGTACGTTCAACGAAAGCTTGGAGACGTATTCAACTCCAGAAGCCAGATATTGTCGAGGAAGAACCGCAGTACAGTCGTTTCTGTTCGCAATACGAGCCATGGTCTCACAGAATTTTTAAAGATCTTCACCCCCGATGAATTGTATTCCACGAAGTCGGTCCTTCATCTGGCCGAACTGATGATGGTCGAAGTCACGGCTATATGATGGGTGGCTGGGAACAGTCCACTGAAAATTGCCGATAATATGCATCGTTTTGAATGCCAGCTACAGCAATATACAGGCTTCTACAGAACGCGTATGCAATCGTGCATCGTACAGTGATTACTTTGAGGACTAAGGGAGGTGCGATGTTTCTGTGTACCGATATTGGTAACGATGAAAACAATGGTTTAGTTTTTATTAGATGTTTCCGGAAACTTTTCGGACACCCCTCGTATATCGTAACACCCTGCAAAGAAAACGGGAGTACTTGTTCGAGAGGAGACTAAGTTTATAATAAGGGAATGTAAACTCAACCACTAGTATTATCTATTTATTTAGAAATGTCGGTTGTCCTTTTTGTTCCGTAAGAGTTAAGACCGTATTTTCCTCTCTGCATGCTCCAACCAGCGCATAAATTGGGAAAGAGTTTCTTTCCCCGACAGAGGTCATAAGAACGTAAAATCTCTTGCTTGTCGAGCGATGATTGAAAAACTTCTCTTGCTGATGATAAACACACGACAGGTACTTATTTCTGACAAGAGCAGCACGATAGCTCGTTCGATGAATACTCTCTCGTGGCGTAGGATGGCACCCCGTTGGATATGGATGCTAATCCCGATCCGGGAAATGAAGAAAGGAACATGATGCCGTATCCCGTGGAGAGGAGGGTGAAGGACAAAGCAGACGAGCCAGGACAAGAGGAAGGACAAGAAAAAGGTGAAGGATATGTAGTTCACAAGCAGGACGTCGGCGGGACGTACAATTTCGGATACGAGACCAAGGATCATTCCCATCATCAATCCAGCCTCGGCGGCGTCGTCAAAGGTAAAAGTGCCCGCAGAAAGGCTGCAACGTGCCCGTTTCTCTCTCCTACTTTAAAGATACTCGAAATTTGGGATCGTGGAGCGAGAAGAACGTTGGCCGTTTCTTTCCGGGTTCAAGGTTTCGAGTTGAGGTCGGGTCATTAAGAGGCATTTCTGTTAATATCTAATCCTAGCCGAGGTCTTGCTCTCGGTTAAGATGGACCTCCTCCTCTAAAAGATCTAACTTTGCGGGGGAAAGCGCCTTTTATACCTTGTAGCTACTTGCAGCTACATTGCTTCCTTATTTTCGTTTTGTCCATGAAGGCATGTGAACTTTTCATTAGGAACGCCATAGCAAGGGCAGAGACCACATCTTCCCCTGAGACGTTCCAAGTAAAATAGAATTCATTCCCCTGCGAGAATCTCGCTTGAGTTTTGCGGAACTCGAAACGATTCCTCTTCATGCTGCTCTTACCATCGAGATAGAAGCCTTTATTGATATTAATTTAATGACCTGAAATAGATCTCAATCATTAACCTTTCCACCGAAACCTCTCGAACCTCGTCTGGGAACGAGGATGATTTAGTATAGAGGTAATCCATGTGATCATGCCTGTAACTATTCGCTATGGCTGTGGAAGACGACAGTTCATCCAAGAACGGGAAAAAAGCAGAGGAAACGATTGCCACTGCTGAGTCATGCCTGAGGAATGCTGCAGCATCTTGACCTGACTTCTACTCGAGCGTAATTCCTGGTGTGTCATGTTATATTTTTCTCGAGCTAGATCGAAAAAATGTACCACTAATCATGCGGACATATACTGTAGTAGCTCAGGAATTAATATTGCTATGCTACTAATATTGCAGGTTGCTAATACAACCGTGCAACATAGGATCAATACATATTTAATTTGATGCGAATGGAGAACCTGAATGATGTAAATACTGAATTTTCTTCGAAAGGCTATATTTCCCAGGGGATGCACACGGAATTCTGTCTCTTATTCACCCCAAGTAACACAGTATGTTGATGAAACGTCTCCGAAATGTTGCCTATGTTGCTCTATGTTGCAAGTTGATCTACAACATTGATAAAACATTGCTTCAATGTTTCCACTTGAAATGTTGCTACGACACTTCTACTAATGTCATTGCAACATTTGCTATCACCATTGAGAGAATGTTGACACTCTTGACATCGACAACGTGGCGACAACATTCTGATACAACAAGGACTTAGAAGTTTTAGGGAATCGTAAAGTCTAATCTACGACATTGATAAAACATTGCTTCAATGTTTTCACTTGGAATGTTGCTAAGACATTTCTACGAATGTCATTGCATCATTTGCTATCAACATTGAGAGAATGTTGACACTCTTGACATCGACAACGTGACGACAACATTCTGATACAACAAGGACTTAGAAGTTTTAGGGAATCGTGAAGTCGTCCTCCTTGCCACGAGATGGAGACGTAGGTCTCGCTTTTCTCACAGTGCACAAAAGTGGCCTTCTTCCTTTCCCTGTTCTCGTCCCGCACGGGAATGTTTAGTACCTTGCCTATGTCTCGCATTGTCTCATAGGAATCAATGAACACGGACACATCATCACTTGTTATCCGAGACAGATTTATGGGGTCAAGATAAAGAAGCTCTTATTCCCAAAAATAACCCTTTCTAAGAACTCGTCCATTGCATCCTGCATTATAATAAAAACGATGGCAGAGTCTGTGATCTCAATCGTTCACATCCTCATCCTGAGAACTAGAGGAGGAAAAGACGGACTGATTTCATGGACACTCCAATGAACATGGCGGTCGGACCTTTTCTTGTAATGTGCCATATTTAGCACATTACAGGGGAAGATCACCTCGAAAAATGTCCTATGTCTCCTGCCTGTATACGATACAGATACCGTATTATGCATGGGTAGGGCTTATACCAGTACAGGCTTCGTCCTGCTGATGGGAATGTATGGGAATGAGTAAAATGAGTAAAGTATATTATTTACACATAGATGCAACATTGTTCATCAACGTTTCCTAAACGTTGCTGGAATATCTTGTGTTACTTGGGACCCTGTTCCAGGGATATTCACAGGAAGCAGGAGTGAAGGGCTGAATGGAAAACTGGTCAATCAGCGTACGAATCTTTAAAATTTATTTTTTGTCGACTTGTTTTATTTTTGTTTATTAGACACCCTGTAACACTTCACCTCTTGTAGTCGGCTGGTCTTTTTTCTGGAATGGAAAAGCGATCAATGAGCATAAGCCATTTTTCCTTTTCATGACCACACTGCACAGATGGCGGTGTACTTTTTTTAAATGTGTTCTATGTACTACTAGTTTTGTTTTTCAGACCCATGTTATGCAGATTGACCAGTTTTCCTTTCAGTCCTTCATATCGCCTCGCAATGATGAGGCAAAAAAAGGGCAAAAAAAGAGGAACGATGGCAGAAAATTATTTTCGACAACTTGGGATGACTGGGACCGAAATCTGCAGAAACGGGAGGGGGAGAAATGGAGAGTTGGTATGAGTTGTCAAAAGTCTTCATACCAGTTTAGCGTTTGAGCTCGGTTAGAAATGCCTCTACACGTATATCAATACGCGGTTATCGTGTCTCCTGTCTACCTCTACCATTATCCTTCCCAACCGAGATCCGGTGCATGTAAGTATCGAATTTTTCCCGCTTTGCTCACTTTGGAAAACGATCACATCCTGATGCGATGAAGAGATCACGGAGTTTATTGTATTGCTTGATTTCTCTTATTCGACTTCATATTCTTTATCATAACATCATTCTACATTTTGGAATCTATGTGCTGAAATTTCAGGTGCGTACACGTACATAACACCGTTGGGAATCCCGTACCGGGTCGTGTATAAAGCAGACGACACCGGCTTTCACGTCTTGGACCAAGGATACGAATCTCTCCCGCAGCCTCAAAAACAGGATGGCAGCAATTTCCAAGGAATGCCCGATCCTGATAGGACGGATGTCAAGAAGAAACCATTCAAGGAGGAGGAACAAGACCAACCTATTCGAGACGGATACATCCATCCCTCCCCGTACATCTCTCCTCACTTTCACGATCAATTCCCGGTCCAGTACCAGCCGTTCTATTCCGCACCTTCCAGTCCCTTTCTATACTCTTTCTTCAATCCGAGCTATAACCAGCAAGGACCGATGAAGGAGACCGAGAAGAAGGAGGGAACCTCGATGGCGACGACCGAAGACGAGAAGATGGAGAAACCGGGGCCTCCGGTCTTCGTTCTCGGTGGGGAGGAGGAGCAGAAACCAGAGGGAGACAAAAATCTGAAACCCTACGGCGCTCTCTCACCTAGCAAAGACATCCCCAAAGAAGAAGATCCTCCCAAGTCTAACCAGAACAAAAAGAAAGGAGAAAACTTTAACTCTGTGGTCATCCAAGCGGGAAGCGGAGGCCAGGCGAGTCCAACCGGTGATCTTCCCTTCCCCTCGGCGTCCCCTCTTCACCTGAAACCTGCGAGTGGTGGCGACGGTCCTTTCGTCTTCGAGTTCCCTCCTCAGCCGGGACCTGCTAGTGGTGGAAGTCCGTTCATGCCGGGATTCCAACCGCAGCAGCAGACTGGCGCTTTCTTTCCGACTCAATCGTTCCCGTTCCCTTTTCTCGGGGCAGGACCCGTGCAGACCCCTGGCCTCTACTACGCCTTTCACAGTCCAAGTTCCATCGGGGGAATTCCCTCACTCTACTCTATGCCCATGTTCAATCAATATGCCCCGGCTTTCCATCCCTCATCCTCGTCTTTCAGCACTTACAATTCCGCGTCCCTCGAACATCATCCTCCCCAGAATTCGATGCCGGTGAATCCCGTCTACTCTCCGTATCTCGTGTTTCAACAGTCAAATGGTCAAAAGGGTCTGCAGGGGGGGTTGCAGCAGGGGTACATTCCGGTCTCGACGTATGCGTCCGCTTTGGGTCAATTCCCGGTCTCTGCTGTCCATGATAGCCAGGTTCCAGGAGGCGAGGGTCACAAACACAAGTACAAGTACCAGCAGGTCTTCCAAGCGCCCAAGGAGTACTACGAGAACCCCTCCTCCTTCCCACTTTACGTCTTTCGGAGTGCCCAGCTGAGGCATTAGGAAGAAGTGTTTCGCCTGTTTAACGATGCCAAACGATGAATTTCGTTCATGCTTCTTTCTCTTGTGTCCCTGTGATATCAGTCTGCTTTTTCAAGTTTCGTTCGTGTTCGTAGCGAATTTTCGGGGTTCTAGGGAATCTGAAAAGGGAATGTCTCGTGTTATTCTGTGTTCCTCCTTCTTCTGCAATGAAGGCCTTTTTGACACCAACTGAATTTGATCTTGAGAAAAGAAAAGAATGGAGACGCCGCCAAACGACCGGCGACACGCAAGATGGCAAAAACACGGCAAAAGTGTGACAGAGTAAAAGGAAAATTTGACATCATTCATACCACAAACCGATGAAATTTAGGAGAATGTGATCTCTCAAACGGTACTGAACACATGGAGTGAAAGCTGAATTGAATTTTCTGCCACCTCAAGGAGCAAATAGGGGAAGAGCAGGAAATTTGGCACCGATTTCGTTAAGAGCTAACGCCAAATTGACAGGATGATCGACCGTTGCTTGCGAAGCAAAAGCAGAAGAGATTTCGTGCATATTAGCCAACATTTTTGCCGATCGGACAGCCTTAGCTTTTCTGCTTCATTGTCGTTAGATTAGAATATGAGGTAGATCCCGTACAGGGATCTTCTTCGTAATAGTCCTTTCTCCTAGAAGAAGTTTGGATCACAGGTCATCGTCCCGTGTGATACCGATCGACTAGCATGCGATTCAGCGATTCACGGGTGACGAATCACCGAACGAGTAACACTCCGCCGCTTCAGACTTCGATTAAATTCGGCAACTGAAGTTTTTCTGACCTCAAAACCCAAAACTTTAACTTTCGGTCTGAGCGAGTCGGCAGATAAAGTCTCCAGGTGACCAGATGACCGATTTCAAATGCCCTATAAATCGGGAACCATTTCGGCTTCAGACTATGATAAGGTAAATCCGGTGCAAATTTCATTAAAATATCAACTCGGCATAAAAATTACGGTCTTCGTCTTCGGAAGTACGCAATAAGTCGGACATTCATGAGCATCACACCGAAGAGTAACGGCATCGTAGTATGAATTCTTTCTGCATGTAATTATTGTCGCTTCGATCACTTTCGGATGGCACCGCAGCAGCAGTCGGATCGCTATCGCTATCGTACCGCAACGATTGCAATAGATTCCACTATCGCACGCCATTTAATAGGAGTTTCGGTAGACGTGACTCGATTCGAATGACGATCCCATCCGATCGCAACCGTATCGATGGTGCCGGCCGAAGTTCGTCGGTTCGTTCGCGTCTCCGCCCGCATCCCGAGAGGAACTCACGACTGCAATATTCGTGTGCAATGCCTCCCCGGTACCGAGAGGCACCCTTTGTCTCGATCGAATGTCATCATCTTCTTGAGTCCGACGGCGTGTCCCACTTCGATGGTACTAGCGGAACTCGATAAAATCTCGGGTATCGAAAAAATTGGGGGGGGGGGGGGGGGAAAAAG